CATTTCCCTGTATTATATTCCTTTGTGTCTGATGTACCTGGAATGGTTTCGTTTCCTACACTGAAGCCTGATACAGTCTGCCTCTACTGAACTCTAACACTTTAAAGGCAGAAACAAGGTATTTTTATTTTTATGTTATTGGAGCCTACCAAAGAGCTGGCTCTCACCAAATAAATGATTGATTCACTGGATGAGCCAATAATGACTCCAAATTACATATCATACCAAACATAAACTTTACCCTGACACTCCAACTTCTCTTTAATGCTCTCCTTCCTTATTTGGCCAACCTTGTCTCTTGCTGTGCTTCGGTATAATGATTCTGGTTATTATATTCTGTACATACACACACATGTCTTACCCCTTCCTCTATTTCTTTGTTCTGATGGCTGCTCTTGTCTGTTGTGTATTCCTTCCTCTGAACTCACATTTACCACCTCTGGCAGGAAAGGATAATAAATCATAGTCCATACTAAATAATCTGCTAATGCCCTATGATGGAAAGAAGGTCTGCTTCTGGTACTTCCTGGCTTTAATCGTTCTCTCTATATATTGGTTTAGAATAATTTGGCTACAAGTAAAAGAAAACCCAATTATAATTACTTAAACTAATAAAGATTAATTTAAAATTTTGTTTTATAACAAAAAATCTGGAGATAGGTGACTGCTGGCTTGACTAAATAATTGAAGAATGTCTGGGATAGCTTCATGAGATTTTCATCCTGACCTTTCATTCATGGATACAAATGACACCTCAAAATCCAGGTATTGTGCCTGTGTTCAAGACAAGAAAGAAGAGATGGAGCCAGCCCTAACCATGTCTTTTATCAGGAGAGCAAAATCCTCCCTAGAAACCGCTCAGCATGCTGCTTCTATCTTATAGGAAGACTGGGTCAAATGGCTACCTCTTGCTATAGGTGAGTCCAGGAAGCTTTGAGGGTGGAAAGAGGAAAGTTGAGAAAATAATTAGTGGGTTAGCTAACCCAAAGTGGCTACTATATTTTCTAACTCATTTAATACCATCACTATTCTTTGCACAAGTTCTAGGTCTTTTATTTTTTACAGCCTCCAGAAGTGCTTACTATAATGCTGTATACCTGATGTATAAAGACTGCCTGTTATATGTATAACTGAGAATCAGTGTAAGGAATACCCCACCATTGTCTTACATGGAGTGGATGGCAAGAGATGAAAACACACTACCCAGGTTCAATCTTGCACAAAAGCAAGAAAACAAGCAAGAAGGGTGGGAGTTGCTTTCAGAGACATTTCACTAGTATCAGTTGGGGGACATTAGTCTCTTTCATCATTAGCACCTTAACACAATTTGCTTTCTGTGTTTATTATAATATGACAATTTCACTTCTTAATTATAGTTTTCAGGAAATGGCATACCATTGTGCATGGTTGGTAGGTACAAACATTCATTTTTTATGTTTGTAAACTGTCTTGAGCTTAAATGTTTTTGTGAAAAGTGATGAAATGTTGGTTCATACAAAGTTATTTAAATGCAAGGGGGAGAGAGTGTAGTTTGCAAGATTTGAGTTGTCATTTTGACAAGTGCATGAATGTTGCAAAGTTGAGATGCTAGAGTCTCTTATCCCAAATTGACTTTCCTTAAAATCAGAATCAACCATGAGATGAGCAGATGATGTTCTCATTTAAAATTTCCTCTCTCTACTATTTCCCCAGTATTTTTATTATGAAGTCATGTTAAAATGGATCTTGAGGCAGAGTTGAGGGAGGTGGCTAAGACAAGGAATCCTAAAGGGTACCTTGAAGAAGAACAAGATTTGCCTTTATGGCTGGAGAGAGGCTGAGCAGAGCGGAAATGGGGAAGAGGAAAAGGCTATGATGGATTGTGCACAATGACTCTGAAGCCTCTTTGTTAGCACCATCTAACAAACACCTTGTGTGCATGTCATCCAGGCCAACTCGTACTGTCTAGTACTTTGGGGCTGGCCACTTACTGGAGGATGACTCTGTTCAGATTACTAGGAGTGCTTCTGTGATAATCACACCCTTCCTTCTGGTAGAAATTACATATTACAGTCTTTACTAATTACAGGCTAGTGGCTCTGGTGCCCTCCCAATAGTAAATCGCTTTGAGATGGCAGCTGGAAATTGGAGTAGTAAAATAAACCCCAGAAGAGGCTTGTTAAGCTTTTCTTGCCCATAAAATGAAAATAAATATCAGAAGCTCAAGTTGCTTACAAAAGAGAATTTTGCTATCAAAACACCACCATATCAGGTGCTATTAAAACAAAAATGCTATCAGAAAATTACTTGAAATGTTTGTTTTCTTCCAGTTTTCAAATTAAAGTAGAGCATCAGGTTCCTTTGGGTTTTCATTCAAATTTTATCTACCTCTCTTGATTCCTATAAATGTAGCAGCTGATTAGCTCCTTTCTTCAGAAGTAGAATAACTATCCCAAAACTGAGAAAAAAAATTTTTTTTTTCTTTTCTGAGAAGCTCTTTGCTTGGATGGTATCTGGAAATCAACAACACATCTAGTTCAAGTTCTTTACTCAATAGACACTCATTTCTGATTTTAAAACTATCATCTAAAATCTCTGCTGAGTACTATTGAAATATCTTAGTTTTCACATTATATAGCCGTAGATTGAATGAGTTTAAAAATTTCTTATATGTTAGCAAGGCCATCGAGTTTCTCATCCCAACCAGGATCTTTCCATACAGCAACCTTGACAAATTCTGTTCCAGCTTGGGTTTTGGTCAAGACTGGGTTCTCTGTGCTTTTTAAGTGTCACCATTTGGACACCTGATTTTGCAGCCCTTCCTTGAATTTATTTCCAACCCCCTGCTCTCTGCCTTCCGTCTGTCTAGTCTATCTTTTGGAGCAATGCAGAGTGTTTGCACATCAAATAGCTGAATGTCAGCCGACTAATGAAGAAGGTTCTCACAGAACCTAGCCCTCCACATTACAGCAAAGTCCAAATTCTGTTCTGATTGCCTTTAGTTCTTCCTTTCTCTCTATGGCTGTGTTCTTTCTTTCAACTGGAGAAAACATGATCAACCCTAGATACAGGAATTAAGTTCTGGGGCTGGGACACAAAACACCCTTATCCTTGGTGCTTCCGAACAAAATGGGCAAGTAAAGGGCAACTACTGATTTTCCTTCCCTAAACTCCCCAACCTGGCCATCCGGATTCTTCACATTCTTCACACTCTTCCCAGCCAGGCAAAAGGTTCCATAAATCTGAACTGGCTCTAAGACTAGCAACAAAAACTCAACTCATCTTTCCTGACACTTGGCACACAGGGCAGGGCAGGCTTCGCGCTGCGGCCTCCAGGTGGGGCGCGCGTCCTCCCACGGCGGGTTCTTGCACGCGGGCGTGGGCGGGGCGAAGGCGTGGACGTGAGGGCGTGGGCGGGGCAAAGGCGTGGACGTGAGGGCGTGGGCGGGCATGGGCGCATGCAGGCCGGTTGCGGTGTGGTGTCTCCTAGGGCGCGCTGGTCGCGTTTGAGCAGATGGGTGGCAAGTACACTGGCATGGGTGGCAAGTACGCTGACCTGCAGCGGGCCCAGCTGCATCTGGATTTCATCCACGCCAACTCGTGAGTACCCGGGTAGAGCCGAGCCGGGAGGGTCTCACACGTTAGAGAGGAATTTGGCATCTCACCTGGCTAGAGACCCAATCCAAAAAGTAATGAACTTATAGTATCCTTGAGTTATGGAAATGTTGTTTTAAAAGAAGTGGTAAGAGTATATATTCTGGGGCAGACTAAACCCTTTTGGTGTTCTTCAGTTAACACCCACTGCTGGGAAAAATTTAAACAAAGCTATTTAATTGTAGGTCAGAACCTTAATTCTACCAACCTGGCTTGTCTCTGGATTTCTTTGACCAACACACTGACATTTTAGAGATTAAAGCTGCCCTTCAGAGAGTAATTTGTATTTATTGATTCCACCCTTTCTGGCCTCTGGCATCTGTACAGAGAACAGACTTTCTGAAGATAGCATTCTCACATTTTAGTTATTACTAGGACACTCTTGCTTCTCTCAGGCCCAACTGCCTTTAGGCTGCTCATTAGGTGTTATTTCAAATACTCTGATTGCAGAGGCAGATGACAGAGGTTTTCTGTTCCAGCTGTCATTTCCAACACAGTAAAGTGTAGTGTCATTCACAGTGGCATGTGGGTATTTTGGCATCTTTAGTAATTTGGTTTATTGAAAGATCAATTGATAGAAGGAATGCAACCAGATTTGAAACCACAGAAATGGAGATGTAAAGAAAGCTGAGGCCAGCCTTGCTGCATAGGACAAACTGTAACTTTTACAGAACACAGAGTAAGATGGGCACTATTTAACAGATGTTTAGTTTTTATGTGTCATGGAGAATATGTTTAAGCTGGAAAGGATGGGATGAATGGTTAAAAGTTAGCTGAAGTGGAAGACAAAGCTGACTTCAGTTGTGATTAGTGCAAGTTTAAATTTCCAAAAAATGGATATATATATGTATTTTTTAAAAATGAATTTTCAGCTAATGTCCTGGGTGGCCTGAAGTATTTGAAGTCATTAAGGCATTGTAGATAATCCTTCCTCCTGTACAAATGTGGAGATGTTTCTTTTTATTAAGGTATCATTGATATACAATCTTACAAAGATTTCACAGGAGAAACATTGTGATTACTACATTCACCCATATTATCAAGTCCCCCCCACACCCCATTGCAGTCACTGTCCATCAGTGTAGTAAGATGCTATAGAGTCACTACTTGTCTTCTCTGTGTGTAGGTGTGTTTTGATAAATGGATCTATCTTGCTTCTGCTACCTGTTTATTAAATATAAAAAGAAAATTGTATACTGATTCTTCCTTTAATGCTGTGACAAAGGTATTGATTGAAATGTCCACATCAGAAAATGAAAAGCAAGTGTAGGACACTGAAGGCAGCCTGATTTCACCTATAGGTGAACATTCCACTTTCAAAGTGTAAATAGTGATGGCTATCTACTATGTTCTATTCAGGACCTAGCATGAGGAGTATAGAGGAGAGTGACTGCAGGTAATTCAGAAGCAAAAAGTTTCGACAGAAAAATACAGATTAGCGGATAATCAGGGGTCCCCTGCCAGTGTCTGTGCCTGCAGAATGAATGGAGTCTTTAAGGCCTTTTAGTGGGCTAGGATTTTGATCAAGATTCTTCAGATATAATTTGGCTATATGTAATACAATTTTACTGAAAACTTCTCTGAAAAAACTTGAATAAATGCTTATAAAACAATTTAAAAACATCACCATTTGCTTGCTCTATGTAAAGTAAGGTCCTTGAAGTCTTTGTTTTATTCCGAGTAGACAGGGTATTTTGGCAATTGTGTTCTTAGATCCCAGCTTTGTAACGGAGTGCATCTACTTCAGAATCTTGATCATGCTGAGAAAACTGTTTCTAGAATAACTCCTTAATTGATTATCTGTCTAGAACTGAAGAACATTTGTCTGCAAGTATCTTAAACCTTTTACACTGATTACAGAGTTGGTTTAACTTTCGGTTTTCTTATTTCTTCATCAGCACCACTCACAGTTTCCTTTTTGGAGCACTGGCTGAACTGCTGGACAATGCAAGGTAGGGCTGATCTGTGAACACAGGTTATTGTGGTGAAGTCACTACATAAATCAAGTCTACTTATATTTAAAGATGAAAAGATAATGTCATTTTTCCTTCACCAGAATATTTTGTGACTTAATTTCCTTCAAAATCGAGATACTATAAAAAAAAAGCAGGTGAAAGGAGAAGTTATTCATCTTTATTCAGTGTGTATTTATGGTTAAACTTGGAATGCAGGTAAATTGGATGCCTGTTCTTGAGTTACTATTCTTGTAAAAGCAGATATTCATTTAGATATTTTTTGAGTTACATATCAATGTATACTATGCTTTGAGAATTTAGATTTGAGTTTAGGCATTTACTGAAGAGTTCATGGAAGTGAATTGCATAGTTAAGGAGAAAATAGCTAACTCTTGTTGATCTCCTAGGATGTATCCCTGTTCTAAGTACTTTATCTATGGGTAGTGACTCATTCATCTTTACAACAACACTTTGAGGTGGGAGTCATTATGCCAGTTCTACGGATGTGGAAATTGATTCACAGAGGTTGGATGACTTATTCAAGGTTATACAGTTAATATTTGGCAGAGCTGGAATTCAAATTCATGCCATCTGGCTGCACAACTCCTTTACCTCATTTTACTGTCTCTGCCAAAGGTATTGATGTTTAAGGAAAGCTCTTTAACAATTTAAGGCCCACTCTGTAGTGTATTTGTGGGGGCTTATGAGGGAGTCAGTTTTTCAGCTACTTGAATATGGCATTTGATTTGTTTTGTATTTTTATTTCCCTATAACAGAAGGTTTTCCAACTTTTTCTACAGAAAGCAAAGTTCACCCTATAAGTAGTATGTGGTGTTAAATCAGGGATCTCAGTAGGGAGACTTAAATTCTCTGCCATTGAATGGTGACTATATTTCAACATTTTTCACTACCTCAGCCCTATTCGTGGTCTTGAAGGCAGATGACTGAGTGTGACCACAAGATGTAGTTAATTAACTAGCCTTCCAGAACTTTCTGCACAGCAGTGTTCATCACTAAGTGAAAGTCATTAGCTTCCCCTTCTGTGAAACTCTGTAGAACTGATGGAATCACAGTTATCAGAGAATGAGAGGGAAGAGGAGAGAAAGAATAAAGTTGGTCAGGAGAGCTATGAACTCAACTTAGAAGGAACTAACAAGGATGGGGCCCTAACATATGGATGTTCATGGTTAGTCTCTCTACCAGGGTTTCCACTGTGCTGCTCAAAGCTCTGAAGCAAGGCTCCTCCCATGTCCATTAGTCCTACCTCCTACTAACTGCTGGTTTTAGTAACTCAACATCTATAACTCCGAAAAAATACATTTGTCTGTTTTGCCAACTGTCTTCTCTCTTCTGAAGTTGTTTCACTCATTCATTCAACAAAGGAAGGCAGGTCAAGTCAGAACATAGAAGAAATAGAACAATGGGAACAGTTTTTGTAGTAGAGAGTGACTGGGGTGATTGGCAAAGACAGATTGGCTTCCGAGTCAGGGGAGTGAGGGAAAGGTGATCAGTAAAGCAATTCTTCAAGCAGCATGTATAAACTGGCAGCCCCCTGACTAAGTCCAGCCTGTCTCATGTCTGTTTGATGCATAACCAAAGTTTGCAGTGTTTATAAAGAAAAGGATGAAAAGAGTAATTGTTTATAAAATTTAATAAACAGGAAGAGCCAAATAAAAAAATTTGGATCCTCTTCTTTTTTTAAGATTAGAAGTAGCAACAACCTTGAGGTCACATTCCACAGCATATGCTTCTTGACATCAACCTGTGCCTTCAGCTTGGCCATACCCAGTGTTCCCCATGGCTACTGTGAGCAACTCAGTTCCTCTGTCTTCAGTGGACACTTGGATTTGCCACCACTGCTTAGATGCTAATTCATATCAAATGAAGTTGGTTAACAGACTTATGCAAGATGCAGTTGATTCTATGAAGAAAGTCTTTCAAAGTCTCCATGTTATTCTAAGAAATTATTTTGTATTATTATATTCAAGATTTGGATGATTTCCTGTAGTTGTCAAAATTAGAACTGGAAAATGTTAAAAGAATGTGGTAGAGAGAGGTGGAAAGCATGTGGTAGTATAGGAAAGGATGGCTAGGGGTCTTCCTAGTACAACAGATGGTCAGAGAGAAAGTACCTGGGCCAAAGTACAAAGCTTATTATAAAGTATATTAATAGCCTGTAAAGGTAGATGACTGTTCTATACATTATCCCATGGCACTTAGAATCTATGAAGAAACTATTTCTTTGAAAACTTCCACTTTAGTACAGTAGCATTTATTGATCACCTATTATATACATGGTACTTTGTATAATGTGTAGTTATATAATATATATAAAGATATCTCGTGTCATGAGATTGTAGTTACGATTAGAAGGGAAATACTTCATTTGGTGCTTGCTTGACACAGAGAAAATGCTCAAGAAATGGCAGGGGTAATTTCAGAATTTATGTATAGGAAGAGCATAGAAGTAGCAATTGGCTAGAAGAAGGAGCTAAGGAGCCAATTTTGAAACTAGGATTTTAGAACAAGTGCAGTAGGTACACTTCTATAGTTTTGGATTGGGACTAATGGGAACTTTGAGAAATACTCGGATTTCCCCATCAGAGTCCTGTTGGTTTTTATTATTCTGGAGCTTCTGTTAAGATCTCATTCCCTCAACATACCCACTTCCTCATCAGCTAAGACCTTATTCCTGATTATCTTCCTTCCTTTAGAGGAAGATAATCCTTCCTCATCCCCTTTATATTGCAACCAGGATCTTCTGGCACTTACCCCTTTCCTTTTTAAATTTTTACTTTAAACATAATTTTTAAAAATACATAAATAATATCTGAGTTGTTGAAAACTGAGAAAATAAGAACAAAAGAAAAGTCACCAATAATTTCATCATATAGAGTAAGAGCTAGTATACTTTTCTGTAAAAGACCAAATACTAAGTATTTTCACTTTGTAAGCCATGCTTGACACAGAGAAAATGCTCAAGAAACTGCTCAACTCTGCCATTGTAGCAGAGGCTGTAGTAGAAGCTGAACAGTTTTATTTTAAAAGTTGTTGTAGAAGGTAGCTGTAAACAATAAGTAAATGAATGGGCATAATTGTGTTCCAATAAAACTTTATTTACAGAAAACATCTGGTAGGCCAAATTTGGCCCAGGGGTCATAGTTTACCAACCCCTGGCCTAGAGAAAACCCCTGTTAATATTTTAATTTCTTTCCTTACAGATATGCACATCTTTATCATATATGTTCTTTAAAAATATGATCGTACAGTACATATTACTTTGCAATTTGCTTTTTTTTCCTTTCTTTTTTTCTCTTTGTACTCAAATATGTCAAGAAAATCTTTCTTTGACTTCTGGATTATTCTCCAACCAGCTTTAAAAAAATATTCATACTCATTTTGTTGAGCTTTTTGTGTAATTACCTCTAAATAGCATCTCTTCAAGCTTCTGAGTCTCAGGCTTTGTAACATTCTCCAGTTATGCATGATCATAGGTCTTAGAATACAAAGTGAAACATTTTAGTACTTGTTTTTGAAGCAATTTAGGTGAATTTCTCTATTGTTTGCTGTCTGACAATAGGTTATACCTCACATAACCAATTCAGATTAAAGTAAGTTTTAAAAACATAATTTTATATTGAAGCAATGATATTTTTGTATTGTTTCCAGAGATGCAGGGGCTGCAAGACTTGATGTGTTTTCAGGTGAGCAGATTTACTTGCTTCTTTTTTTTTCTTTTCTTCTAATGGAAAGCCTGTAGTTATTTTCCTTTAATTTTATTTCATATTATCAAATCACAGTCTATGGATTTTTAATGTAATTTAAGTGCTTCATGAGTACAGTGACCCTGTGGGGAGCCAGGTTGAGAAAAGTACAACCCAAAAGTGAAACTGTTCACTTGTTAGAGGACCCATTTACAGAATTAGATCTTCCAGGGTTCTGTGAAAGCATCAGAGTTGTTTGGAGCAGTCAGTTTGTCTGTCATGAGAAAACTAGTTTTATTTTAAAAGTCATATTAATTTAATGGTCGTTCATAATTAAGTATATACCATTCCCAAATTATCACAGTTTAAAAATGCATATGTGAATGTGCAGTATGAATGTTTGAGGGCTATAAAATTCAGAGCCAATATGTTTTCTTCATTGACTTCATTTTTAGTCACCAACTATTTATTGAATGGGTTAGTTCATTTCATTGAAATGGGATGCAAATGAAGTGAAGTTCTTTGATCTATTCCTGTAATTATCACTACTTACAGAAATGGCTACAGTGTTTAAACTGATGATCCCTGACCCTGATTCTGTCAGGTCTCCTGCAAATATTGGCTATTGATCACTCTCAAGGGGATATGATCCGTAATGTAAATCTATATCTGTATTTAAAAAGTAACTGAGTTCAATTCAATTTTCTAAGTGTTTAAGATCCTGGGTGGCAGGTGTTTCTGGTTCATGAGGGAGAAAGACATGGGCATCTCAAGAGGTTTGCAGAAACATAATAAATGATATTTTTCTTCCCTTTCTACTGTTCACATTCTGAAAAGTTTGAGAGACAAAACAAGAGAGTCTTTATTAGTGATAAGTGCTAGGTTGGAGTATGGAGCTTGCTGTAAGATAGTGAGCAGATTTGCATAACTGTTTAGAGTCTGTTATGCATGAGCTAAGCAATTTTTCTTGGTGCTGGGGATGGAGCAATGAGCAGAACATTTGACAAGGTCTCTGTTCTCATGGGACATGCATTCTAGTGGGGAGAGAGAGACAATAAAGAAATGAAGAAGTAAATAATATACCAAGCAATGATAAGTGCTAAAAGGAAAAAAAAATGAAATAAGAGAACAGAGAGCGATAGGAAGGATTTACTATTTTTGATGGGTTGATCAGAGAAAGTTTTTCTAAGTGTATGCTGTACCAGCAAGACCTGAATGACTTGAGGGGCAGAGCCACATAGATAATTGGAGAGAAAGTATTCAGGGAACAAAGACTAGGCCAGGTTGACTAGAGCTAAGTATTAGAATGAAATGGATGAGCACCTTCAATATCACATTAAAGTTTTTTCTGCAGATAGTGGACTATTGAAGAATTTTGAACAATGTCATTTGGCAAATTAGGAACATGCTCTTTTCTTTTTAAAGAAAAGTACTCCAGTCATAGCCTGCAGGATCGTTTGTAGATAGGCTGCAGAAGTGTGAAAGAAGGGTTGACATGGAAATAGGACAGTGGAAATGACCTGTGCAACACATTGTGAGAATTTGAACTAGGGCAATGGTCCTAGAAATGGAGAACGGAGAAAAGATGTAAGTTGCATTTCATTCAGAACACATACTATTGATGAAGGGCTGAAGGGTTGAGAAGAATTATCTGGAATCACAAAGTAAAACAAATGTAATCAGAATCCACATATTATGTTCTTTGGGTATATGGCAGATACCAGTAGGGCATGACAGTATTCACTCCCCACCCCCACTTTCTCTAGCATATGGCACTGTCACAAAAAAATTAAAAAGAGTCTTTGCAATTTGAGTTGAGAATGACACCTTCTTTACTTAGATTATATGTGTTTTGTGAAAAATTGAATGTTTTGGTTTTAAATTACCTACTCATATTATAAAAATTTTTATTGTAGTAAAGCACAAATGACTATCGACCTAGTAAACTGATTTTTCTTAAAAAAATTAGACCAGGACCAGGGTTTATACATTGATAGAATTGGTATGGTGATGTACAATTAATCTAGGCATTGGGCTAGTTTTCAATTTACTGAGGCCTCTGAATTACTTCCTATTCTTAAGTTTTCTTCAAGTAATGTAAGGGCTATAGAATTCAACCTAAATACGTTTAGTCATGGGTATTTTATCTGTCTGTGTGTATTAATTTTAGTAAACATAAATATGCATTTAGTACATTTTCTTAGTGCTTATCAAGTGGCAGGCAGGCACTGGGCTGAATGCTGAATAACACAAGTTCCTGATTTTAAGGAACTGGCTCACTTGGTGCTGGCCAGTCTGAAATCTGTAGGGTTGGAAATCTAGGTAAGAACTGATGTTGAGTCTTGAGTTCTATGTCTTTAGGGCAGCCCAAGAGCCTGGAAACTCATTCGTATGTTTCAGTCTTGAGGAAGAAAATTGGTGCTTCTTTGAGAACCTCAAGTCTTTGTCTTTAAGGCCTTCAGCTGATTGGATGAGGTCCATCCATATTATGGGGGTTTCTGCTTTATTTACAGTCAATTGATTGTAGTGTTAATTACATCCACAAATACTTTCTTAGCAATATCTAGACTAATGTTTGACCAAACAGTTGGGCACCATAGCTTAGCCAAGTTGATACATAAAATTAATGATCACAGAGAGGTAGGAGAGCCAAGTCATGAGAGGCAAGCAAGATTTTTTGACTGGTTTGGGTTTCATCCTAAGGGTAGGGGGAAACTATGCAAGAGTTATTAGCAGGAGAATAGTGAAATGTGAAGCTGGCTGCAGACAAGTCTGCATTCTCTGATTTTAGTGGAAATAAGGAATTAGGGAGCTGCTGTTAAAATCTAGAAGAGACATGATGGTTTCTTGGACTAAGGTATTATTGTGGGGATGCAGAATGTTGTCAGACTTGAGAGACACTAAAGAGATGGAATTGAGAAGACACGGCTGTATAGGAGGTGAGCAGATGGAACACTTGACGATCCTGAGGTCTTGACTTGGGCAGCTGAAACCTAATGGCAAAGTGATGTTTATTGATTAGGGAACACCAGGAGGAGGAGTAAGTCTGAAGAGGGTAGTATAGTGGTTTGTTTTAGACATTCAGGTTTAAGAGATAATAGAAATCTATCTGAAATCCATATACCAAGAGCTGCAACATCAATTGCTACAACTACACAGAGCTACCTGAGGCTTGGACCAGGTGGTTTCCAATCCTGAGAAACAGTAGGATGATGGGGGTAGCTTTTGTTCCTGAATCCATCCAAGACCACTTAATTCAGGCTATCTCCAGATGATTCAAATGTGCAGCCAAGGAGGTTGAGAACAACTACATTGGGCACAGAGTGCAAGAAGAGTTGGATTCCCCTTGTCGATTAGTGGAGGAATGTCTGCTTTAGTCAGAGGGAGGGCTGAACAGAGCAAATACTTAAGTGGTGGTGCCGGAAGGGTGGGAGTGGTGAGGAGGGGGGGCACATACTTTGACACAGAAGTTGAGATACGTAGACCATGGGACCAGAGAGAGAAGAACTGGGCAAATCAGAGGGTAGGTAAGATTCAAAGGGTTTATAGACTGTGAGTGAATTGGAGAGAAGAGAGGGGATTAGATGTTGGCATATGACCATAAAATTATGAACCCAGAAAGTTTAGGTATGTTTTTTAGATATTTATTTATAGATTATCTTGAACATTATTAAATTTTTAAAATGTGGATTAGAGTTGACCATTGAACACTGAGTTGACTTAACAAATGTGTTCAAATTGAAGGTATGGGGACAGAATTAACAATCATTAGCTGCTTGGGGATGTGTGTGTTGGGGAGCAATGGGGCATGGAAGGGGCAGAAGGGAGAGACTACAGAGGGGCAGGAGGAAGCATCTGGGTGATGGGTATGTTTACTACTTTGATGCGGTGATGGTTTCACGGGTATATGTCAATACTTATTAAATTTAAACATGTAGTTTTTTATGTGTAAGCTACTCAATAAAACTATTATAAAAAAAGAGATATGTGCTAGAACTCATATATCTAAATGTTGAAATGTTTTTCAGAGCCAGATTACAAACGTGCATTAAAATTACGCTCATTTGGAAACAAAAGCAAAAATGAGCAAGTGGGACCATATCAAACTAAAAAGCTTCTGTACAGCAAAGGACACCATCAGTAGAACAAAAAGACATCCTACAGTATGGGAGAATATATTCATAAATGACATATCTGATAAGGGTTTGACATCCAAATTATATAAAGAACTCACACACCTCAACAAACAAAAAGCAGATAAGCCAATTAAAAAATGGGCAGTGGAGCTGAACAGACATTTCTCCAAAGAAGAAATTCAGATGGCCAGCAGGCACATGATAAGATGCTCCACATTACTAATCATCAGGGAAATGCAAATTAAAACCTCACTGAGATATCACCCCACACTAGTTGGGATGGCCACCATCCAAAAGACAAACAACAACAAATATTGGCAAGGATGTGGAGAAAGGGGAACCCTCGTACACTGCTGGTGGGAATGTAAACTAGTTCAATCATTGTGGAAAGCAGTATGGAGGTTCCTCAAAAAACTCAAAATAGAAATACCGTTTGACCCAGGAATTCCACTCCTAGGAATTTACCCTAAGAATGCAGGAGCCCAGTTTGAAAAAGACATATGCACCCCTATGTTTATCGCAGCACTATTTACAATAGCCAAGAAGTGGAAGCAACCTGAGTGTCCATCAGTAGATGAATGAATGCAGAAGATGTGGTATATATACACAATGGAATATTATTCAGCCATAAGTAAACAGATCCTACCATTTGCAACAACATGGATGGAGCTAGAGGGCATTATGCTCAGTGAAATAAGCCAGGCAGAGAAAGACAAGTATCAAATGATTTCATTCATCTGTGGAGTATAAGAACAAAGCAAAAACTGAGGGAACAGAACAGCAGAAGACTCACAGAACCCAAGAATGGACTAACAGTTACCAAAGGGAAAGGGATTAAGGAGGACGGGTGGGAAGGGAGGGATAAGGGGGAAAATGGGGCATTAATTTAGCAGGGGGGGACACAGGAAAGGCAGTATATACAGAGAAGACAAGTAATAATTCTATAGCATCTTACTATGCTGATGGACAGTGACTGTAATGGGGTATGTGGGGGGGACTTGATAATAGGGGGAATCTAGTAACCATAATGTCGTTCAAGTAATTGTACATTAACAATATCCCCCCCAAAATTACACTCATTAGTTTGTTACACCTTTAAGTTGTTTTTAAACAAGGGATTATATTATGTAACTTAATATCTCCTAATCATCAAAATTGATTCCAAGAAACTTACCCATGTTAAAAAATCAAATGCATTTCAAGAGGCAAATATTTGCTGCCACCAAGAAGAATGCACAAATGACTCTTAAGGGAATTCACTACTCAGAAGAGTGCCTAATGAATTTAATAAGAATGGGCTGGATTGACTTTAGAATTTAGTACTTTGGTGAAAGGGCAAAAAGACTAATCAGTTTGATAGAGAGAACCTGGGGTCACATCACCTTATACCTTTATACCTTCCCCAGGGAGAAAATATGTGAAGTTTAAAGGACCAGATTCCAGAACAGGACATGTCATACTATATACATGATATATTAATGTGTAGATGTTTTCTGTTAATTTAAAACCTTTTTGTTACATGATTGTTTTCCCTCTGCAGTTTCTTGTGAAACTGTAGCCAAGAACCCTTTCTGGCTCCATCATTGTGCCATAAGTCTGTCACCCAGTGGCCGCATTTGAGAAGGGTGAATAATTATGTGAGCAGCATAACTTTCTGATGAACAAATTAAACCAAATATTTATTAGTAATAACTTCTTCTGTTACAGTGGATAATGAAAAACTGCAGGGTGGATTCATGTTATGCCTCCTGGATGATGGATGTGGTATGAGCCCGGGTAAGTTAATTATCTAGATAACTAACTGGCTGTTAGAACAAATAGTCTAAAAACCCATAAAATAAATAAAAATAAATTGAGCTATCCATAAAAAAAAGCAGGCATGTAGCTATTAGGGAAAATAAACCCCAGATTTAACATATTGTTGAACTTTTTAGATATAAGTATTCCAGCTAACAGAGTATATTCATTGTAGAATCATCTAAACCAAGATAAAAGGTGAATATAAATAAATATTGCCAGAGAAATGAAAGGCAGAAGGTACCGATTACTTGTAAGAGAATCCATTTGGGAATGAATGGAAAATGAACAGTAACTGGATAGACTCAGATTGTTTTTAGCCCACCTTTCAGGTATTGCTTGCAAGAACCCTGAGGCAGTTTCCTTTAAGCTATTTTTAATTTTCTGCTTAACCTTGAGATAGAGGTCACCTCTTCTTGTTTTATTGGTTTGTGTGTTTGATCTGCATGTTGAAGGGTTTAGTTGCTTCAGTTGAATGTTCTTATCATAATGAATACATCCATTATTCATTGCATGATTTATCTTTGTATCTTTAACGCTAACAGAAAGGCAGTAGGTATGTGCACAATACCAGTTCACTGTGGACTTGAAATATTCCCTCTGATCAGGGCTTTGAGTGTTTTGGGTTAGCTTGTACCTGAATGAACACTTGTCTGTGTCCCACAATCCAAGTGTTTTGACCACTAGGCTTAAAAAATGGTGAGGAAGTTCAGGTAATATGGAACTACTGTTCTGGTTCATTCCACACCAGGGAAAGAGTGATCATCAGTGTTGCAGATGCTAAGAATACAAAGTAAAGCAATTACCTTCTTCTGGGTCTTTGAAGCTCCCCCTTGGTATAAATAGTCAAATAATGCTTCTTAGCAAGTTTAAAAAGTGATCAAATAGCCTACTCAGTTCTTATTCTGAGTTTGTTTGAACACTTTTGATTTTTTCCAGGTCATCTAGATTAAAAGTATTGCTGGTTCCTTAATGTTTAACTAAGAGAAAGAAACAGAGTTTGAGAGAAAACTATTAATGAAAAAAGAGTTTCATTTTTCACTTCTACACTGAATGTTTAGTTCATTTTCCTGAATTCTTAAATAACAGAATATGTGATATATTCTAAGACATTTCCGTAACAAAGAAATGGTTCCACAGGCAAAATGATCAACAAAGTGACAAAACTTCAGATTTTCAGAAGGGCTCATACTTATGTTGACATTTACAGTAGTATTTTAAAAATACAGGTGTTGAGAGAGCAATTTTTATTAACATTTATTGGGAATCAAGTAGTAAGTTAGAAGAAAGAGTTTATCTGATGACTGAAATATGATTTATCTGTCATCCACACTGAGCCAGGTCAATCTTGATCCACAGAGGATGACTACAGTAATTTCTTAACTCTTGACCTCCAGCCTTACCCCATTACAGTCCAATTCCCACACAGCAATCCAAGTGGATTTAAAAAAAAATACAAATCATATGATATCCATTCCCCAGGCTTAAAACCCTTACTGGTTTTCCATTACTTCAGAATAAAATTCGTACTTCCCAGTAATACTTCCAAAATCTTGTGCTATTTGGGCTTTGTTCACCTTTTTGACCTTTTCTGGCACCTTTCACTTCCTTGTTTATAGCACTCCAGCCACACGTGGCTGGCCCTCCGTCATTTGAGTCTCATCTCAGATGTCACCTTATGAAAGAGGTTTTCCCTGATGCCTCTATCTTCAGGCCACACTCCTCTTAATTCTCTGTCACACTACCCTGGTTTTGGTTCCTTCACTTAATACTCTCAGAAGTTATCTTTTTATTTGTCTGCTTTTCATCTGTTTCTCCTACCATGACATAAAGTTGAGGGCAGGGGTCATATCTGTCCTGTTCAGTGTTCTGTCTCTGTGCCTGGAACTCTGGCTGCTACATATGGGAGTTTGTATGGTATGTGCTGAGAACCATGAGATATGATCTCTGATAACTCTGGATTGTAATCCTGGTGATAGCATTTATCAACTGGTGATAAATGTAAACTTGGGCAGTTTACATTAAGTCCTTAAACTTAAATTTCCTCATCTGTAACATACAGATCATAATAACAACATTTTCCTCATAGGTTTGTTAATAAGTATTAAATAGTACATGCAAAGTATATGACATAGTACCTAGCACATATTAAACATTCAATAAATGCTAGCTAATATTGTCAATATGTATACCCTCACCTAATACCTGACCCCTTAAGAAAACATGTGACGGAATGTCTAGTTGGCTTCAGACAAGCAGAGTGTCTGGTAGCCTTTACATACCACATACCAGGTGCCACTGAACTATAATATGTCTGCACCTAGACTGACACAGGGACTGACACAGGATACTCAGGACAGTTCTAGAGCATGTTTTCAGGTAGGGCAACTGGGAGATTCATTTCTATATTTTCCTGTTTCCTTGGGAGCACTGTTGTTTTTGGAGGTATGTATATTCTGAAGTTCAGAGGATTCTTATCTGGAATTCCAGAATACCCTGCGGAGGTCAGGAGGTTGACTCTGAGAGTCTGAAGTCCTTCTTTCCCAGCCAGTGTCAGACTAGAAGTCACTCTGCCCTTCTTAGTCTCACAGCGAGCTTGATAAGGGCCAAATTCATGGAAAATTCCAAGTGGTATAAATCATTGTAACACCCATAATTTAGAAACACTTATCAAATAGCACATACTGTGTTCAGGATTTCATAAATGCATCAACTAATTTCTGTTCATTAACAACTCTACGATGTAAGTATTAGTAGTTCCCTTTCATAGATGAGGAAATTAAGGCTTAGATTTAAGCTCTGTTTATCCAAGGTCAAACGGCTAGTCCTGTCTGACCTCATTAGGAATATTGCTATTAAGATCTTGGTCAGAGATTATGTATGGAGTCTGACCCTGGAGATACAGATTCATCCTTTTGTCCTGAGATACGTGTGACATCCTGACAACTCAACCTCCAGCCAACCAGTGTTAGTTACTCATAATTCCTAACTACTTGAACATCTCTGCAATTACAGAGGAAGCTTCAGATATCATTTACTTTGGAGCATCCAAGAAACGATTATCAACCTTGAAGTTTATTGGGCAATATGGCAATGGTCTTAAAAGGTGAGGTTTTTTTCCCTTTAATTCATATATTATTGATATTGGAAACAATTTTTAGTTAAAGGCAATTTTATACAGAATGATGCAAATTTGTAAAGCTTAATAAAACCCCACGAAACTTGAGAGTCCTATCTTGTTTTAGAATCTCCATATCCTTAACTGACTTAGATCTTTACAGCATTTTAAAATTTAATTCTCAAATAGATGTTTGAATCATCTTTCAGAGATTGCTGAAGCACCACCCTATACTTTAGAGCTTTATTGCAGCTCTATGTTCTGTTATTTCTTGGAGCATAATTTAGCATAGGTGAATATGTGTCCATAGCTTATTTTATCAGTCTGCCTCTATGAAAGGTGAGGACCTAAGGCTGCTATCACTTCTGTGGCAACTGCCAGGGACAGATGATCACTCTCTTCTTGAGCCCCAGACAGAATCTTACCTCCAGCAGTCATATCACAAGCAAGAGTAGGGGCTGGATTAGTTCATATCTGCTCTACTGGGAGGGCAAAAAACCTCTTAGAGATGGGTCAGAAAAACAGTGAAGCTATTTCTTTGAAAAGAAAAACCTGTTACAGTACATAGTATCATGGCTGTTTTTTTTTCTTTTTGGTATTTAAGATATATTATGTTCTTCATTTTTAATATAGCGGATCCATGAGGATTGGGAAAGACTTTATTCTTTTTACAAAGAAGGAAGAAACGATGACCTGTGTGTTTTTTTCTCAGACATTCTGTGAAAGAGAAGGCCTTAGTGAGGTAAGAGTTGAGATTTTTCCTTCAGTTCCCATGGTAACATATTCATTTACAATATGAGGAGGTGAAGTCTATCATGGGTTCTTTCTGATTATGATTTCAAAATTTAGGAATATATTTGGGGAATGGAGAGAGATGGGTGGACATTCTGAGTTTCCTGGAGACCTGACCTACTGATCTTTCCTTGAGTGGGTTTTTAGCTTGTAGACAGCTTTCAGAACTTTATCTTCATTACACATGTACCCAAATCTCCTGGAATAAGAGGCTCCCTTTGGCACAATGAGCCTTTTGGAAGAAGCTTATAAAACATTTCCACCATTTGTGCCATATGGATTATCATTAAAAAATACATAAAATATTGGGTTAAAAGTTTTGGAATACCAAATCTAAAGAAATTGACTGCAAAATAGTTAAAAAGCTATAACTCTAGTGATTACAATTTTAAGTCCATTTCATGACTTAGAAACATTTCATTAATTTGTAATGTCTGTTTTAACAGCATCAGTCAGTTAGAACTCAATACAGCAAATATATGTTGTGGTACTATTGTCTGCCCAGCACTTGATAGAGCCTGTAGAAGGTAGAAAACAAGCAGAGACAATCTGACCATTAAAGTGGTCACCGAATAGGGGAGACACATGCGAACTGGATAAATAACAAAATGAAGATGTTTAAAAAGAATGCTGTTCAATGAATATGTGTTCCTGCTATTGCACAATTGTCAAAAGCAATGACATGGAAGGAGCAATCAGAGAGCCTTGAGTGACCAATGAGGGTTTTATGCAGAGAGTACAACTTGGAGCTGGAAAGGCTAGTATGTGGAGAGAAAGAGCATGAAGCAAGTATCAGGACAGGAGATTATGGGGTTTGGATGGACAGTGAGGGGATGAGAGATCTTCATGTGCCACTGGTAGCAGTGGAGTAGGCTGGGTAATAGGAACAGTCTATAGGCAACAGGGAGTAGCTGAGTGGGAGACTGATGTGAGGCAAGACGATGCTGTGAGTATTTGTATTGCACTTTATGTATGTAAAGGCATGAGAAATTGGACCAAAGCTGAAATCATAGCTTTCCTAAAATGGGCCATTTCCTTTTTTTTAAAACAATGCCTCCCATTTCCACTTCCACAGAGGCAATGTCTTTCAACAGCATTAGCTGATTCTTTTCATATTTTTTTGTGTATCTCTACATGTAACATACTTGCATTGCTGCTTTTTGATTTGATTTAGGCATTATCTACTAACCTCTCACTATAAAAGAGGACTTATCAATTTTTTCTCTGCTTCTGTCACAAATACTCACTCACCCTTCCAATTCTCTACCCTCAATATAGCTTGATTATAATTTTGATTATGCTATTATTTAGTATTTGTAGTAAAAGATTATGTAAACAGTATATTAGTCATAATTGTACATGCAATGAAGTATTACTTTTTCCTTTTCCACACAATTTTTTATTTTCCCTGGAGTTAATCGTCTGCTGAGTGTTGTACATACTTGTGTTTGCTGGGTCTTCTGTGTGTATCATTTCGTTGACCCCAGTCTCCAGCTTCACCCTCATCAGTTCCGCCTTGCTGAAGAACTCTGCTCTGGAGTCCCTCACACTTCTGCTCTTCATAGCTTCCATTTTGTTGCACTCCTGAGGTCTTCCCTTGACATCTTCCTGGCGGGTCTCCTCACCTCTCTTCTTTGTCAGATCTCAGATCCTAAATATCCTGTCTTTTGTACCTTGCACCCTCTTTTTGGGGTAACATATCCTCCATTAGCTTTTTTAGCAAGCATGCAGATGTAAAATATTTTGAGGACTCGCATGCATGGAAATTTTTTTATTTGAATATAGTTGCTATACAGTATTGTATTGGCTTCAGATGTGCAACATAGTGACTTGATAATTATATACATTAATAAATGCTTGTCACAGAAAGTGCAGTTACCCCCATTACAGTACCAAGATATTACAATATTGTTTGTTATAGTCTCTATGTTGTACTGCTATTACTATTACTAATTTATTTTATAATTTGAAGTTTATATTTCTTTATCCCTTACACCTATTTTACCCATTCACCCATCCCCCCTCCCTATGGTAACCAACAGTCTGTTGTCAGTATGTATGGGTTTGTTTATTTTGTTTGTTTTTTTGTTTTAGATTCTACATATAACTGAAATCATGTGGTATTTGTCTTTCTCTATATGACTTATTTCATTTGGCATGAAACACTCTAGGTTTGTCCATGCTTTCACAAATGGCAAGATTTCCTTCTTTATAAGGCTGAATAAATATTCCATGGTATATATGTACCACATCTTCTTTATCCATTCATTTATCAATGGGCACTGGGGTTGCTTCCATATCTTGCCTAATAATGTGGCGCTGAACATAGGTGTGCATGTATCTTTCTGAATTAGTGATTTTGCTTTTCTTCAGGTAAATTCCCAGAAGTAAAATTGCTGAGTCATATGGTATTTCTAGTTTTAGTTTTTTGAGGAGCCTCCATATTGTTTTCCACAGTGGTTGGACCAATTTACATTCCTACCAAAAGTGTAAAAGGGTTCCCTTTTCTCCACATCCTTGCAAATACTTGTTATTTCTTGTCTTTTGGATAGAAGCCATTCTGACTGCTGTGAGGTGATACGTCATTGTGGTTTTGATTTGTATTTCCCTGAGGATTAGTGATGGTGAGCATCTTTTCATGTGTCTTTTGGCCATCAGTATGCCTTTTTTGGAAAAATGTCTATTCAGGTCCTCTGCCCATTTCTTAATTTGACTGTTTTTTGGTGTTGAGTATATGAGTTCTCTATATATTTTGGATATTAGCCACTTATTTGATATATCATGTGCAAATACTTTTTCCCATACAGAGGTTGTCTTTTTTGTTTTGTTGTTATTGTCCTTTCCTGTGCAGAAGCTTTTTTATTGTGATGTAGTCTTACTTGTTTATTTTCATTTTTGTTTCCCTTGCCTGGGGAGACATATCCAGAAAAAAAATAGTTTGTGCTGATGTTCACAAGATTCTTGCCCATGTCTTCTTCTAAGAGTTTTATGGTTTCATGTCTTACTTTTAGGTATTTAATCCATTTCGAATTCCCTTTCCTGTATGGTGTAAGAGAGTGATCTAGTTTCATTGTCTTGCATGTAGCTGTCCAGTTTGTCCAACATCATTTACTAAAAAGACTGTTTTTTCCCACTGTGTATTCTTGCCTCCCTTGTCATATATTAATTGTGTGTGGGTTTACTTCCAGGCTTTTACTCTGTTCTATTGATCTATGTATCTATTCTTATGCCAATACCATACAGTTTTAATTACTGCAGCTTTATAGGAGAGCTTGAAGTCAGGGAGCGTAATACCCCTAGCTTTGTTCTTTTTTCTCAGAATTGCTTTGGCTAGTTGGAGTCTTCTGTGATCCCATATAAATTTTAGGATGATTTGCTCTAGTTTGTTGAAAAATGCCACTGGAATTTGATTGGGATTGCACTGATTCTGTAAAGTACTGTGGGCAGTGTGGTCATTTTGACAATATGAATTCTTCCTATCTAGGTGCATGGGATAGCTTCCATTTATTTGTGTCTTGTTCAGTTTCTTTCATCAGTGTTACATAGTTTTAAGAGCATAGGTCTTTCACTTGTTTGGTGCATGAACATGTTTTTATCCTACTTGAACACTTTATGATAGTTGTACTTGCTTTTATTTTTAGGTTGGGGTGAATTTTCCTTCAGGACTTTGAAGTCATGCTCCATTATCTTCTAATTCCTAGTGTTGGTATTGAGAAGGTTGAAGTCATTTCAACTCCTGAATCCTGTATATGATCCATTCTTTTCACCCACCTGCCCCACCCTACTTTTTGAAGGTCAGGAGAATCTTCTTTGTCCCCAGTCTGATTTCAGTTTTTTGCCTTTGGGTTGGTCTATTTTCATCTGTTATGTGGGACTCTCGTTACATGTTTTCAATCTGGAAATTCAGGTCATTCAATTCTGGGACATAAAATTTATGAGTTTCTTCCATCCATAGTCTCTTTTCTCTCCTATTGCAACTCCTGTTCATGGCTCTTGAATGCCTGGAACTGATTCTTTAATTTTCTTATCTTTTCTTTCCTATTTTCTGTCTGTTATACATTTTTGTTTTCTTTTCTGAGAGATATTTTTAATATCTGTGTTCCAACCATCTCAGAGAAATTTTTTTCTGTAATTATGTTCTTCATTTCCAAGAAGTTTTTAAAGCTTTTCTTAATGTTTCTTTTTGAAGGATAATATTGCTCTTGTTTCATGGATGCATATTTCCTCTTAGAGCACTGAGATATTAACAATGATTTTTTCCTCTGAAATTTTCTCTGATGGTTTCTCTTTCCACTGAGTTGCTTTGTTGTGCTTGTTTATTTAGTCTCTATCATTGTCAAGGATTTTCTTGGACATTAGGCTATTAATCTGAATACTTTAAAGATTAATCCAATAAAATGCTGATTGGAAGCTTTAAGAATGTGGGTGGGGCTTGCAATTCTGAGTGTCACAATAATGACATCTCGTTTAGCTACTTATTGGGAAACCCTCAACATAATTTTCTTTATGTCTTTCACTCTGGGCTGGTCAGATTTCTCAGAGAAGACTCCTACAGTTTTCTGCCTGAGTGCCTAGGCAGCAGCTTTCTTGGAGCTAAATGAGAGAAGATGCCTGGGTTTCTCAGCATCACTCAATCCTTCCTGTCTCAGTAAGGTCCCTCTGACAACTGTGGCTGCTATGTCCTGTAATCCAGAAATGCTTGGTTCCTCTCTTTCCAGAGAATAAACATCCAGTCCCTGTGGAGGTGGGGGAGGAACTATTGCAAGGAATCTGGATGCTACTTTCAGCTCTCTTCCCGTTTTTTCCCGCCTCCTGAGTTGACTCATGGAATTAATCTATGAGCCTTCTAGGACATTCTGAATAGTAAACAGGCTGGGTCTTCCTTTTTCTGGCATGGGCTTCAGATTGTTTTTTTTGCATATGCTGTCATTTCCTTTTCAACTTCTGAAATGCTGATAGTGTTGTTCTCACTGCCGTTCTACCCATATTTTAATAGGAAGCTGAAGTAGATCCCATCTGTCCCCACATTCTATAGTGGAGCATTTTAGAATAAATGCAGAGTATACAGATTTAAGTGCTGAGTATACATATTTGTTATGTGTCTTTCTTATAAAATTGGAATACAGGGCAGGAAATAATTTTTTAACTTTCTATTTTGTAATTTGGCTGGATGAAGAATGGTGTGGATAAGGATCAGACAAAAGGATGATGGTTTTTATTTGTGTATTTAATAGTAAATTGATATGTGTTTTTTTTTTTTTAGGTTGTGGTTCCAATACCCTCATGGCTAACAAGAACCAGAGAATCTGTCACAGATGATCCTCAAAAATTCTCAACGGAATTGTCTATAATTTATAAGTACTCTCCATTTAAAACTGAAGCTGAGTTGATGCAGCAGTTTGATGTCATTTATGGGAAATGTGGTAGGGTCATCAAAACTCTGAAATTTTGATCAGAGTATTTTTCAGTGTTTTATGAAAGACATTTACATATGTTTTCATTTTTTTTCTATTTATAATATATGAAATCTCACATGGGGGCAGTCATTTATTTTATCCATATGAATTTTGTCTTAAGTGAATCCACTTAAGAACGGGAGAAAAATTTGTACTTTTATGAGCTTGGTGAATCTGGATGAGAAGATGATACAGATTATGGCCACAGGAAATCTATAATCCCTGTACCAGGTAGCAGAGTTAGGAGATGATACTGCTATGTCTAAGGTTAGATGATCCCAGGCTTATGAGAAGGTCAGCAACTTATAAAGTAATGAATCCAGGTTTCTATGGCAGATAGTTAGCTAAAGCTTTGAAGATATTCCTTTCCAAATGAACAAATCTTTTCACATTCTTTCAACCTTAACCAACTTCCTACTCAATATGTAGAATGACCGGCCTGCTAACATTTTCCAATGTGTCTTTCTGTAGACTTCTACCACTTTTCATATCTAGAAGCAAAAAGGATCCTACTCTCTGGAAAGCTATGTGTATTCTGCTTTTTTCAACTCTTTGATTTATGTAATAATTATAGTGATATTCTGAGAAATTTTTTCTGGTTTGGCCTATGTCACCTTCAAGAGTTCTCTGTGGCATTTTGTTTAAAATTAATGGTTTACGTCATCTCTCCCTTTCTCATGGTGGAAAAATACTGGCAATTAAATAAATATCATTTTATTAACATATGCATAATATGCTTTTAGGAAAGTTAATCTAATCTCTTAATTGACTTCTAATTATGATATATTCAAATAAATACTAAAGAGGGATAAACTGTTTCCTGATTTTTTTTCTAAATGCCTTGTAAAAATTAACTCTTATAATCCTCAGAACAACTTTATTTTAGGCACCTCATGAACTCTGTTGTACTGATAAGATAAACAGGTTCCCATAGGTTAGGGAACTTACCTGAGTAGTAAATGGCAGTAAATGGTTCTTCCAGGATTTAGGCTCCGAAGTCCAAATTCTCAGTGATTATGCTGTTTAGCCTTGTGTTTTAGTACTACCAAAAAAAGTATAATTGGTTGTTCCTTTAATTTCTTTGACAGTTCTGTTTGTCTTCATAGCATAATCCATTTTGTAAAGAATTTGGATTTTTTTGTTAATTATGCTTTAGAATCAGAGCCAGCAAGCTATAACCTGCAGGACAAATCTCGCCTTGAACCTGTTATTATAAATACAATTTTAGTGGAATATAGCCACAATCATTCATTTTTATATTCTCTATGGCAGCTTTCATACTACAGTGTTAGAGTTGAGTTGTGAATAGTTGTAACAGAGACCATATAACCTTTAAAGCCTGAAATATTTATTATCTGGCCCTTCACAAAAAAGTTTGCCAACACTTGTTATAGAGTCTAAAAGCAATACTTATATTTGTACATACTGTTAAGACTTATCTTTTTATCAATGTATATTGATATCGGTTCCACCAATGAAAGCTTTACCTTTAATGCAAATTCAGCTCAGGAGCCTAACAATTTTCATAGTGCAAATTATGATAAGAGTGCCAAAGTTTAAGAATCCACATTGAAAGACTTATAATGAATTCAATAGTATTAAGAAGCACTATACTGTAGAAACTCAACACTCTTTGGCAAAGAATGGAATTTGCTGTAAGACATATACTTTGGAACTTATCCAAGCATATTATTTACTGAAGTAAAAAGGAAGTTTGGTCTGTAGCAGGCTTCATTCCATAGATAACATAATAACACCATTACTCATTTTTTGGGTGGTTAAAATATTGACAAGTCAAATACCTATTTTTTACTAGGTACTTTGCTGGTTATTTATAACCTGAAGCTTCTGCTTAGTGGAGAACCAGAGTTGGATGTTAAAACTGACAAGGAAGATATACTGGTGGCTGGAGATTCTGAGGAGTGAGTAATATGTATGTTTGACAGAATGTCTCTCAACAAAGGCAGTGGGTTGGAGTTAGGAGCCTTGCATCCTGGTTCCAGGTCTGAGACTACTGGGCCACAACACTAGGACAATTCACTTTGCCTCAGTTACAGATAAAGTAAGTTAGGCTAGACTACTGATTCTCAAACCTGGCTGAGTCTCTGAGTGACCTGGGTGACCTCTTAAGAAGTATAGGAGAATTTTATCCTACTTGAACACTTTATGATAGTTGTACTTGCTTTTATTTTTAGGTTGGGGTGAATTTTCCTTCAGGACTTTGAAGTCATGCTCCATTATCTTCTAATTCCTAGTGTTGGTATTGAGAAGGTTGAAGTCATTTTAACTCCTGAATCCTGTATATGATCCATTCTTTTCACCCACCTGCCCCACCCTACTTTTTGAAGGTCAGGAGAATCTTCTTTGTCCCCAGTCTGATTTCAGTTTTTTGCCTTTGGGTTGGTCTATTTTCATCTGTTATGTGGGACTCTCGTTACATGTTTTCAATCTGGAAATTCAGGTCATTCAATTCTGGGACATAAAATTTATGAGTTTCTTCCATCCATAGTCTCTTTTCTCTCCTATTGCAACTCCTGTTCATGGCTCTTGAATGCCTGGAACTGATTCTTTAATTTTCTTATCTTTTCTTTCCTATTTTCTGTCTGTTATACATTTTTGTTTTCTTTTCTGAGAGATATTTTTAATATCTGTGTTCCAACCATCTCAGAGAAATTTTTTTCTGTAATTATGTTCTTCATTTCCAAGAAGTTTTTAAAGCTTTTCTTAATGTTTCTTTTTGAAGGATAATATTGCTCTTGTTTCATGGATGCATATTTCCTCTTAGAGCACTGAGATATTAACAATGATTTTTTCCTCTGAAATTTTCTCTGATGGTTTCTCTTTCCACTGAGTTGCTTTGTTGTGCTTGTTTATTTAGTCTCTATCATTGTCAAGGATTTTCTTGGACATTAGGCTATTAATCTGAATACTTTAAAGATTAATCCAATAAAATGCTGATTGGAAGCTTTAAGAATGTGGGTGGGGCTTGCAATTCTGAGTGTCACAATAATGACATCTCGTTTAGCTACTTATTGGGAAACCCTCAACATAATTTTCTTTATGTCTTTCACTCTGGGCTGGTCAGATTTCTCAGAGAAGACTCCTACAGTTTTCTGCCTGAGTGCCTAGGCAGCAGCTTTCTTGGAGCTAAATGAGAGAAGATGCCTGGGTTTCTCAGCATCACTCAATCCTTCCTGTCTCAGTAAGGTCCCTCTGACAACTGTGGCTGCTATGTCCTGTAATCCAGAAATGCTTGGTTCCTCTCTTTCCAGAGAATAAACATCCAGTCCCTGTGGAGGTGGGGGAGGAACTATTGCAAGGAATCTGGATGCTACTTTCAGCTCTCTTCCCGTTTTTTCCCGCCTCCTGAGTTGACTCATGGAATTAATCTATGAGCCTTCTAGGACATTCTGAATAGTAAACAGGCTGGGTCTTCCTTTTTCTGGCATGGGCTTCAGATTGTTTTTTTTGCATATGCTGTCATTTCCTTTTCAACTTCTGAAATGCTGATAGTGTTGTTCTCACTGCCGTTCTACCCATATTTTAATAGGAAGCTGAAGTAGATCCCATCTGTCCCCACATTCTATAGTGGAGCATTTTAGAATAAATGCAGAGTATACAGATTTAAGTGCTGAGTATACATATTTGTTATGTGTCTTTCTTATAAAATTGGAATACAGGGCAGGAAATAATTTTTTAACTTTCTATTTTGTAATTTGGGTGGATGAAGAATGGTGTGGATAAGGATCAGACAAAAGGATGATGGTTTTTATTTGTGTATTTAATAGTAAATTGATATGTGTTTTTTTTTTTTTAGGTTGTGGTTCCAATACCCTCATGGCTAACAAGAACCAGAGAATCTGTCACAGATGATCCTCAAAAATTCTCAACAGAATTGTCTATAATTTATAAGTACTCTCCATTTAAAACTGAAGCTGAGTTGATGCAGCAGTTTGATGTCATTTATGGGAAATGTGGTAGGGTCATCAAAACTCTGAAATTTTGATCAGAGTATTTTTCAGTGTTTTATGAAAGACATTTACATATGTTTTCATTTTTTTTCTATTTATAATATATGAAATCTCACATGGGGGCAGTCATTTATTTTATCCATATGAATTTTGTCTTAAGTGAATCCACTTAAGAACGGGAGAAAAATTTGTACTTTTATGAGCTTGGTGAATCTGGATGAGAAGATGATACAGATTATGGCCACAGGAAATCTATAATCCCTGTACCAGGTAGCAGAGTTAGGAGATGATACTGCTATGTCTAAGGTTAGATGATCCCAGGCTTATGAGAAGGTCAGCAACTTATAAAGTAATGAATCCAGGTTTCTATGGCAGATAGTTAGCTAAAGCTTTGAAGATATTCCTTTCCAAATGAACAAATCTTTTAACATTCTTTCAACCTTAACCAACTTCCTACTCAACATGTAGAATGACCGGCCTGCTAACATTTTCCAATGTGTCTTTCTGTAGACTTCTACCACTTTTCATATCTAGAAGCAAAAAGGATCCTACTCTCTGGAAAGCTATGTGTATTCTGCTTTTTTCAACTCTTTGATTTATGTAATAATTATAGTGATATTCTGAGAAATTTTTTCTGGTTTGGCTTATGTCACCTTCAAGAGTTCTCTGTGGCATTTTGTTTAAAATTAATGGTTTACGTCATCTCTCCCTTTCTCATGGTGGAAAAATACTGGCAATTAAATAAATATCATTTTATTAACATATGCATAATATGCTTTTAGGAAAGTTAATCTAATCTCTTAATTGACTTCTAATTATGATATATTCAAATAAATACTAAAGAGGGATAAACTGTTTCCTGATTTTTTTTCTAAATGCCTTGTAAAAATTAACTCTTATAATCCTCAGAACAACTCTGTTTTAGGCACCTCATGAACTCTGTTGTACTGATAAGATAAACAGGTTCCCATAGGTTAGGGAACTTACCTGAGTAGTAAATGGCAGTAAATGGTTCTTCCAGGATTTAGGCTCCGAAGTCCAAATTCTCAGTGATTATGCTGTTTAGCCTTGTGTTTTAGTACTACCAAAAAAAGTATAATTGGTTGTTCCTTTAATTTCTTTGACAGTTCTGTTTGTCTTCATAGCATAATCCATTTTGTAAAGAATTTGGATTTTTTTGTTAATTATGCTTTAGAATCAGAGCCAGCAAGCTATAACCTGCAGGACAAATCTCGCCTTGAACCTGTTATTATAAATACAATTTTAGTGGAATATAGCCACAATCATTCATTTTTATATTCTCTATGGCAGCTTTCATACTACAGTGTTAGAGTTGAGTTGTGAATAGTTGTAACAGAGACCATATAACCTTTAAAGCCTGAAATATTTATTATCTGGCCCTTCACAAAAAAGTTTGCCAACACTTGTTATAGAGTCTAAAAGCAATACTTATATTTGTACATACTGTTAAGACTTATCTTTTTATCAATGTATATTGATATCGGTTCCACCAATGAAAGCTTTACCTTTAATGCAAATTCAGCTCAGGAGCCTAACAATTTTCATAGTGCAAATTATGATAAGAGTGCCAAAGTTTAAGAATCCACATTGAAAGACTTATAATGAATTCAATAGTATTAAGAAGCACTATACTGTAGAAACTCAACACTCTTTGGCAAAGAATGGAATTTGCTGTAAGACATATACTTTGGAACTTATCCAAGCATATTATTTACTGAAGTAAAAAGGAAGTTTGGTCTGTAGCAGGCTTCATTCCATAGATAACATAATAGCACCATTACTCATATTTAGTGTGGTTAAAATATTGACAAGTCAAATACCTATTTTTTACTAGGTACTTTGCTGGTTATTTATAACCTGAAGCTTCTGCTTAGTGGAGAACCAGAGTTGGATGTTAAAACTGACAAGGAAGATATACTGGTGGCTGGAGATTCTGAGGAGTGAGTAATATGTATGTTTGACAGAATGTCTCTCAACAAAGGCAGTGGGTTGGAGTTAGGAGCCTTGCATCCTGGTTCCAGGTCTGAGACTACTGGGCCACAACACTAGGACAATTCACTTTGCCTCAGTTACAGATAAAGTAAGTTAGGCTAGACTACTGATTCTCAAACCTGGCTGAGTCTCTGAGTGACCTGGGTGACCTCTTAAGAAGTATAGGAGACTGTCTCATCCCAGACTGACTGAGTTGCAGTCTCAAGATACCAAGCCTAGAATCAATATTTTTTGTATGTTCCCCAGGTGATTCAGAAGTGCCAGCCTGTTTGGAGACCACTGGAATATAAGACTTCTAAGGTTCTCTAATTTCAAAATTATTCTATGAATATTAAAACTGAAAAAACCCCACAGAGTTCAGTATTTATTACAGATCATTAAAAATGGGCATCAGTATTGTGTGAAGTATAAATATGAATTGCATATTCTGAATGAACCTATGAAATGCATACTTGCAGTTTATAAATAAATAAATAGACACATTCATTTTTCTTGGCTGTTAGAGATCCACAGAAAACAATGAGAAAGCATTATGGGCCATGGTGGAAAAGTATGGAGAAATAATAAAATAGTGACTAAATGTAGGTTTCTCTAAAATAACTTTGCCTTTAAAACTTACTAGCTTGAGCTTACAGTCTCTTCTTTGTGTCAGAGCTCTAGAACTAGAAGGGATTTTAAAGGAATTTCATCTAATTTGATTAATTTTATATACCAGTATTGTCCAATAGAAATATAAGGAGAGCCACTAATAAGAACCACATGTTACCTTAAATTTTCTAGTAGTCACATTAATAAAAGTAAAAAGAAACAGATGAAATTAATTTTGATATTGTTTTTATCTAATTCTGATATATATACAATGTTCTAATTTCAATTTTATATGAAAAATACTAATGAGACATTTTACATTCTTTTTTACATACTAAATCTTTGGACTC